CAACTCCCAAAAGGTGAATCTGTCAAGCTGCTCATCACGACCAGAGATTCCAGAGGAAAACAAATCATTCCCCGTCAAGATGTCACAGTGAAGTCTACAAATCCTGATGCATCATGGGAAGATATTGATGTTACGGACAATTACAATGGGACTTTTCAAGTGATGATAGTAAAAAAGATGGTAGAAACACATCAAGTTGCCATAATGATTGGGAACCAACATATTCCAGGATCGCCTTTCAATATTTCTGTTCCAAACAGAGGGTGGGTACAGACAGTGGGAAAAGTAGCAACTGATGGAAAGTTTGGATATCCCTGGGGACTATCCAATAATAAACATGGCGACTTTGTCACAGCTGACAGACGGAAAAAAAGAGTGACAATTCATGACAGAGACGGAAATTACAAACAATCATTCAGATTTACTGGTCAGTTTCCGGGGCCATTCAGTCCATGTGATGTAGCAATATCAGATGAAAATGAATACTTTATGTTGGATGATATTAACAAACAAATTGTTGTGAGTGATGAAAATGGAAAGATGATTAGAAAGTTTGGTAGATCTGAAATTCACAATCCATTTGGAATTGCAATTAATCCTGTTAATAAGAATGTCTATGTGAGTGAGTATGATAAAGATTGTATTAGAAAGTATACCAATAGTGGCGTGTACATAAAGTCATTTGGGAGAAGTGGAGAAAAACAAGGAGAGTTCAATAGACCATACATTTTAGCTATTAACAGTAAAGGGTTGGTGTATGTGCCAGATTGTTACAACCACCGTATCCAGGTATTCAATTCTGATGACCAGTTTTTATTTGAATTCTCTTCAACTGGTTACAGTACAATGCGTTATCCTAAAGCAGTGGCCATAGATAAGAATGATAATGTATATGTGAATAGTGAGCATAAAATCACTAAGCATGACAGCAAGGGTCAGTTTATTTGCAGGATTGATAGTGACAATGATGGACTGACCAGTCCCTTTGGTGTAGCAGTATGCCATGATGGTAGAATAGCTGTAGTGGACAGCAGAAATGTTTGCATCAAAGTATATGCTTCACAAGATATAGTTTTCAAGGGTAAATAAAAACAAAGGCAGGCAACAAATCATACACTACAAGTGGAGATTACAGTGAAATTAAGTGATATATTTTTTGAAATTGAATATGAAATTGCAAACAAATAAAAA